CTATCTTATGAGGAAAGACTAAGTGAGCTGGGCCTGTTTAGCCTGGAGAAGAGAAGATTGAGAGGGGATCTGATCCGTATGTATAAGTACCTGAGGGGAGAATGTAGGGAGGATGGGGCCAAACTCTTCTCTGTGGTGACCAGTGACAGGACAAGGGGTAATGGGTACAAGTTGAAGCACAGGAAGTTCCACGTCCATGTGAGGAAGAACTTCTTTCCTGTGAGGGTGACAGAGCCCTGGAACAGGCTGCCCAGGGAGGTTGTGGAGTCTCCTTCTCTGGAGATCTTCCAAACCCGCCTGGATGCCACCCTGTGCCACGTGCTCTAGGTGTCCCTGCTGGAGCAGGGGGGTTGGACTAGATGATCTCTAGAGGTCCCTTCCAACCTCAACCATTCTGGGATTTTGCTCTGATTCTATGACCAAAATGCCCCTTGCTGCCCGTGGCACTGACGTTCAGTGCAGGTTTACTTTTGCACACTAGTGCTCATAGGTGGAAACCGAGCCCCGAAGCCACCTGCCCAAAGCCGGTCCTATCAGTTACAGCGGTTCCTACAGGGGAACAAGTGACCTTTTGAAAGAGCACAGTTGAACAAAACCATGTGATAAAAGAGGGTATTAGAGCTTAGGAAAACATACAAAAGTGCGAGTGCTCTGGGTGTGTTCTGCTGGAAAGAATCTGCGCGCTCTCCGTAAGGCAACCTGTGGCGCTGCACGTGACGCGGACCCTGAGGTGCCATCGGAGCTGCTTGTTGTGAGAGTGGCAACCCCCACGGGCAGCATGCATTTCTTGTGTGTCCTACACTGTGGATATATGAATTCTTGCTGACTCTTTGACTCGCACGAGAGTGCTGAGGCAAGAAAGACGATAGCCTAACAAGATTAATTTGAATGCAAGACAAAACACATTTGTTTAAAAGAGAAAAACCACACACATGAGATAGTTTTCTCTTGGAATGCTGCTAAACATGACTTTATGAGTAATACATGCTTGTCTACTTGTCTGTTTAAAACTTAGGGCTTTCTGGCACCTTGGCTGTTCATTTGGGTAGTCAGAGAGTCACAGAAGGGCTGAGATTGGAAGGCACCTCTGGAGATCATCTAGTCCAACACCTCTGCTCAAGCAGGGTCTCCTAAAGCGTGTTGCCTGTGACCCTGTCCAGATGGCCTCTGCATGTCTCTGAGGAAGGAGACTCCACAACCCGTTCCACTGATCCGGCCACCTCACAGTAAAGAAGTTTTTTTCTCAATGTGTGCATGTTTAGGTACCAGCTTTTGCCTGGCACTGATGCAAATGCATATAATAAGTATTTGGAAAGGAGGTAGTCTGTGGTCTTCAGTTGAAGAGCATGAAAAAATTGGCAACTGCCCCTTACGATTCTCTCCATCATAAGTCTTAGAATGCAATGTTCTTGTTTTCCAAGAAGCAAAGAAGTTTAACCACTGGTGCAGCCAAATGCCGTCCAACAGTCACTTTTAACCTGGGTCCGAGCAAGAGAAAGCTAAGGTTCGGCGAAAATGTTGATTTTGCCCATTTATGCTTGTCAGTACTTCAGTAGCCTAGCAGATCTCACAAAGTCAATCTGTTTTTCTGCACTAGTGCTGTAGATTGTCGCCTTTTCATAAGTTTTGTTTTAAAAGTGGGATAATCACTATAGTGAACTGCATCACGTCAGAGTCTGGCTTGGCCTCCCGAATTTGGTAAAACATTTAGGGAGAAAGGTTATTCATTCAGCAGAGCTGAGAGGTGCTCCAAGTCATGCTATTTAAAATTGAAAATGATCTGTGGGTGAGTGAGTTAATTATTTCTTGTTGCCTCACTACCCTCCACCTACTTTAAACCTATGTATTGACCTTCAATAACAACTGCATTTCAGCCATGTTGTTTCTAGCAAATGCCAGTTCTTTTGGTTGGGGTGAATATTTACTGTTTCTCCTCGGCTCAGGCATAAATAAAAATTTAGAGGACCTTTGGGTAAATGTGTTCATGGTTCAGCACCTTAATGTGTCACTTAACTACCAACAGTGTCCATAAATTGGACCTGCCAAAAATAATAGTTTCTTTGCCACTTTTCACCTCCTGCTTTACCTAAGTATGCATAATATTACAAGAGAGACATTTGCATAGCAGACAAAGAAGTAAAAGTGGAATTTTGCATGCTTCCTATAGCAAAATTAACTACACAAGACTGCTTTCTTCTGACTTGTCTTATAAACCAAGATCCACACTTAGAAATCTTATAAAGCCCTTTCTCCTACTGGCATGGCCTTGACTTTAGCTTGAGTTAAAAATGAAAAAAAGTAACAATACAGGATAAGGATTTGGTAAGTTTACCTATCATCGGAATTTGACCCTCACTAATTTGGTTTTACTCCACTTTCTATTAAGGAAATTTGCTCCTTGCAGGTTTGCTGGAAGGGGAGTTATCTCAGCTGATTTCAGATAACTGCAGTAGAGCTGTTTGCTGTGAATCATCCCAGGCTCTTGTTATGATCCTTGAGAGAAAAGGAGAGAAAAATTAAATACAATTAATGAGAGAAAAATTAAAGAGAGAAAAATTAAGTACAATTCATCTGCTCTATTGTAGGCAGCTATATTAAGATATGGTGAATAATGCCTTGGTTATTCTTGGTGAAAACTGCTTGGTTTTCTCAGTTGATTATAAAGCAGCATTTGGTCAGGTGAAGACCAGAAAGAAAAGAAGCTTTTTATAGTATATGATGGCATGCTGTATAGAATAGTTTACCTTTAGGTATATCCATACTTTTTTTGTGTTCTTGGAGATCTCAGGTGAAAATTGGGATACCAAAATCAGGCAGAGCTTGGGCAGACAGCAATCATAGACTGGGATCTGTAGGTCTTTGCTCCATAGTTCTTTTGTTGGTTGTTCCTCTGATGTTTTCTGAGGTAGCCCCTATACTATGGGACAGGACAGTGCTTTGCCATTCTTTGAGCAGTGCCTGGGGTGAGTGGAGGCATCTCTGCTACGATGTTGGGGGACTACACAGGGGATCCTACTCGCACATTTAGGTCTTTGAGGGGAATCTGGGCAGATGAACACTCCTCATGGTTGCTGGTGCAGGACTGATGCCCCTTAGCAGGGACTGGAGGAGAAGACCAGAATCAGTAACTGTTTCCTGACTCAGCTGTGCTGCAGTGGCAGCAGCAGCAAGAGGATCGTCGGCTCCAGCGAGAGGGTCCCCGGCTCCGGTGTTGGCATGTGTCACTCCTCACGTGTTTGAAAAGCTTTTAAGGAACAGCTTAAACCTTTTGTCCTGAGAGCAGTCACGTCCTAGGTTTTCTGACAGCCTCTAAGAGAACATACAGGCCATACTTGCCAATATATTCTGCATTAATGTATTAGTACATATAGCACAATTAGTACATTAGCACAATAGAAATCCAGAAACCTATCCTGCATGCAAATAGCAGGATGGTTTTCCAGCTCAAACAGAGTAATAATGTTGAAGCAACAGTATAGCAAGGAAAAACGTATTTGAGGTGGGTTTCTGTGAGAACTGAAGGTGTCTTCTTTACCCTCTTTCAAAATGCATTTTTGAAAATGGTGATATACTATTACATATAAATAAGAAGAGTATTTCACCTGATTTTAGATATCTGAAAGTTAGATGTGTAACGTATGATCTTGTCAGCCTATTCATTTATCATCAGTGGAGAAAAAGAGGTTCCTCCAGAGGGCAGCACATCTACCCAGCACAGGTTTCTTCTACCTTATTAGTTCAGACTTACCTAATTATAATGCCAGACAGCTTAAGCTGATGCAACTGACTCTCTCTCTCTTATATTCCAGTATTAGAGTCTTATGGCAGTTACAGATATTTTATTGAATGTTATTTTTCCTTAGCAAATGGGTTGGTGTGCCAGAAAGATGTCTGCATGAATGTAGAAGGATTATAGACAAATGCCAGTCGGCTGTGTTTAAAGACACACAGTGTAGCACCCAAATTCTGTAGGAGCAATAAAACATGGTGTAATGTGCTCCAAAGTGCTTGTGTGCTGGAAATCAATGATATTTTAAGCTACTCATTCACGTTCAAACATAAGGGTGGTCGCCCTGGGTTGGACCAGAGCTCATCCGTCTCCAGCAGTGGTCCAAGTGGATGCACAGGAAGAGCCTAACAACAGCCCAGACTTTGGTGATGGCTTCTCCCAGGGTCTGCCCATGTGCAGCTCAGGGACTCCCCAGCCACATGTTAATTTATCTTTAATTAATTTATCTGGCATCTTTTGCTCAGGAAGCCTGTGTTAGCCTGTAGCACCCACAGTGCCTGGGGCAAAGAATTCCCCAACTTAACTGTAAGCTACATGAACAGTCACCCCTTTGTTTTTGTTTTGCCTTCTGTTTTCACTTGCTGTAGCCTTTTTCCTGTTTTAGTATAGTATTTAACACCTTCATTAAGGTCTTTCATACAGAATTTTTTTTGGTGTCTGCTTTGTGAAAGTGGATGATGAAAACCTGCTGTAGCACTCAAACTTTTCCACCCACTGGAGATAAAAGAGCAAAGAATGGAAGTGGTAATGGCAGTACATTTTCATTTGAGATGAGATGAAACAGTTTCTCTCAACGGATAAAAACTTCCAGGAATAATTATTCAGCTTTGGGTGTATTCAGCACGTCTCTAAAAGCAGAGAAGTGTGGTTTGTGTGGTGGGAGTTTTTTTTGCAAAGAGATCGCAGAAGGCAGAAGATGCCAAGCAAACAGTTATCCCAGGGCCTTACCCCGTGGTGCTTGGAGTATCCTGAGGAACTCTGCACGGTTGAAGCCAGCCCTTCCTCGCTGCTCTGGCACTGGCAGCGGTTTGGTCTCCACCTCGCCCAAGGTTGGGACGCGCGGAGCGGCCTCAGCGCGGACGCAGCGGCTCCGAGGCCGGTCGGACGCTGCGTGCGCTGAGTAACGCGCGGCACCGCGCGGAGCGAAGGGAGCTGCGGCGCAGCCCCGCGCGGGCCCTGCTCTAACCTGGCGTTCCACCTGTGATTGCAGGTTACATCCAAGCCTGCAGAGGACTCATGATCTCTGCCGTCTGCCTCGGCTTCTTTGGTGCTGTGTTTGGACTGGTTGGGATGAAGTGCACCAAGGTTGGAGGCGCCGATCAGACCAAAGCTAAGATAGCTTGTTTAGCTGGACTGATTTTCATACTTTCTGGTAAATATGACTTTATTTCTCTAAAGTTTTTACATTTGAAATTGTATTAGAGGTGATTTTTTTTTCCTCAGAGATTCACACACGATACTGTGTCGTTTCAGCAGCTGCAGGGTCAGACCCAAAGCACCTTCTGCTGATGCCACTGAAGAGTTTGTCTTACCTTTTTCAGGGTTGTGCTCTATGACCAGTTGTTCCCTGTACGCGAACAAGATTACATCCGAGTTCTTTGATCCTACTTTTGTTGCACAAAAGTAAGTACTTTTCTGTTACCCACAAATCTTTCAAAGAAATAGAGCTCAGATTTCTTACCACACACCAGAAGTCATTGACACGGAAAGCAGATGCTGCTACCACTGGGCAAAAATGAAGAGTGGTTTGGAGTTCTGTTTAATTGTATTATCCAACCATGAACTGAAGTTTAATGAACTGATGCATCTCCACACGGTGCTTCGTTTGTAATCTTTGTGCCCAAGCTTATCATGACGTGATGGGATTCTGCAGCACTCCCCACAGAGCAACTCTGGTTATCTCGGTTATATTTATCTTTATATCAGAGATGCAGAAAAAAAGGATATCAGAAGATACTCATTTGGCAAGAAATTAAATAAGAAGTGAAAAAAATGTTTCCTTTTGGATAGATGATCGTTTTCATAAAGGTGCTGAGCATTGCACAAGTCTTGATCCCTCTGGAAAGAGGTTTTTACAGGTTCTGCATTTTTTTTTTTAAATTTAAAAACCAGATGCCTAAAAATTTGGCTTGTAGACTTTATCATAATCCATAATCATACCATCACTAATATCAATGTGCAGGTTGCTTTGGCTGTGAATGTGATAAAATTTTAGGGATTGTATGTTTACAGCTCGGCAGGAGCCGTATCAGAAATAATGAGCATCCCGTAAGACTCCTTTTAAAATACTGGGCTCTGCAATCCAAAACACTAGCAATTCACCACCCACTGTGTGGACTTTTGCTTCATACCTTAGCCACCAAGTTGGCCATAAATTATAGCATCTTAGATTGTCATGAGCTGATTTCTTTTGTAATGTAAACTTCCCTTTAAAAGACTGATACTACTACTTTTTTTTCTTGAAAACAAGTCAATATTAGTTTCCTTCCTAAGTCTGCTGTAGTTTCTACTGGTTTCACATGCTGAAAACAGGATCCAAAGGCCACCGAAAGAAACCGGGCTGTGTGCTACTGTGAAGACATGAAGACTGGTTATATAGCCAGCAGTTAATTATGGAAGTTAATTATTTATTAGGCTCACCGGTAGTCGTGGGAAATACCTGAAATATTGCCAGCATCCCCTGTGCTCTACACTATGTCCCCGCTCTGTTGTGAAAGCGCGGGCAGAATTTGCTGCAGAGTTTGCCAGGGAGCAAATGAGAAATCCAGTTTAAAATACTCAGATCAAGGGAGTGAAACATCCTCTGCATAATTCCGGTATAAGGAATGTAGCACAACTGTGAGCACCCGTAAGTAGATTGCGGCTATGCAAAGAATAAAGGCAGAGGGGAAAACCAGATGTTGCAATTTGAATGACGCAGCTGATGCAGTGACCTTGCGTCTGGTTACGGTGATGGTGACATTTAGCTGCTTTCTCTCTGAACCGGGGCAGAATATGCTGGGGAATTTGTTTCATGCCTTCTGCAAACTGTACGTTGATTGTGATGCAGAAGCTTTGAATAGTGCTTTTCTGGTGTATCGTGCAAATTTGGCATTGGCCCTTATCTGGCAGAGGGGGTGCTGTGGGATTCAACCATTCGCCTTGTGCTTCACTTTGCTCACCTGAAGTTCTTCTGGTGGCAAGAGAAAGGAGGCCTGAGGCCTGCTAGCTGACCACAGATGGCACAAAATATTGAGCAGTATTTCAGTTGACAGAATTTCACTCCATTCTTCAGTATTTGGAAGAGGCACCCAAACATGGATGGGCAGGAGGAATCCAAAACCTACCCAAAGCTGTTGTCCAGGAGCCTTCTGATATAATTTTATGCCTTCAGCTTGAGGAATGACAGGCATCTCCAAAAAAAGCTTACTTAAAAAGAAATGTTAGGCTGAGTTTTACGTTTGAATGGCATGGTTTGCATTAGCATTTTAAAACAAATTGAAATGCTTGTATGTGATAACACACGTAGAGCTGTAGGACCAGCATTGGGCTCCTGGGTACTTGCAGTCGAGATGAATTTCATTTTTCTGGAGACACCTCTAATAGAAGGAAAATCTCTGCTTCTCTTTTCCTGTCTTGCTAAAGCTGTTCCCAAAGCTTCTGTTGGTTGTTGCTTTACTACTTTTAATAAAAGCTTCTTAAATCTTTATCCTTTTTTCCCCTTGCTAAAGTTTGAGCTCCGTAATCATGACTATTATTACTGATGAATGGAGAGCATTATCCAACTACTTGGATAAACTATCCACACAGTTTATGGAGGGCTGTTTGCCTTCACCCTTTTTCCTGTGAACTGACTATGCACAGTTCACACAGGCCTTCTTTTTTCAGCTGTTTTATCATTTCTTGCACCCCTCTCTGTGCCTTTATTTTGCTTCTCTAAGGTAGTGCTCAGATTTCATTCAGGGCTGAGGGAAATAATGGAAGGGAGAAGCAAAGAATATTAGCCTACTTTTTTGCATTATCACGCTGCCACATATAGCTTTAAATCTGTTTTTCATTTTCCAAGAACCGTAAGAATTATTTGGATAGTTGTTGATTCATTGAGAAGATATGTTCTGTATATATGTTCTGGATTTCACCCAGTTGGCTAATGAAGTTACATCTAGTTTGCTCAAAAGTTTGCTTCACAGTCTTAATGTATGTAACAGCTAGGCTATTTTTCTTCCTCATTGGTATTAGACTTCATTTCACCGGATTCTGCCTCCCTGGATTAGAGTAAAAAAACTCTGCTGTTCGCCTACTCGTTGAGTTGAAGGTGCCTTTCAGTTCAGGACCGCTGAGTTGTAGTCTTTAGTGGTCACCACCGTTAGCCCCTTCCTCAGTGTCCTGTTCTCCTCTGATCAGCCATCAGTTTCCGAGTGATCTTTTTTCAGGCATATTTCACTGGCGTTTCTTCTAAAAAAAAGTCCTATATCTCCAGTAATTTTTTCAGGAGCCACCAGTGTATTTAATGTTCTTGAATATGGTACATAGTGGATTTTAGATGGCTTTTGGTGTCTGAAATGTGCAAAAAAACAACTGGATAAAATCCAGGGAGCCATACATGGGCTGATACACAATTGAAAATTAGAAAATTTCCTTACAGGCGTTGGTGTAAGTCGAAGAAGCCTTTATCTGTGCAAAGATGTTGAGGAAAGGCCAATTTGGCTCTGTAGCTCATTAACACAGCAGGGTGGCAGTAATCTAAAAGGCTCCATACTTGCTTATGCATGTTATATTATTGGAAGATGGTTAAAACGTACAAACCACCCAGGACCAAAGACCAGACCCGCTGCCTTCCCAAACAGTAGGCAAGAGTCAGGCAGCCCCTTTCCACCCCAGCTTAGTCTTGAATCATATTTTTGTGTAATGGAAGAGCTTCCCTAGAGGAGATAGGAATTGGTTGTGTTGCGTCTCTCACATCTGCTTCCAGCAAAGCGTGTTTTAAACCCTGTTAGGTGGAGATGTGAGAATCAGCTTGTGTTACCGTTTCTCTTGGCAAACGGTCTGGCAGTTAAGTTGTTAGAGCAGCAGCCCCGCTGGCTCTAGGTCCAGCGGTGTGCTGGGTGATCAGTGCTCATCTGCTCTTGATCAAATGAAGCCCAGTCCTTGAATAGATGCAAGGTTGTTTAATCTAGAGAAACCTGAGCCAGGCTGAGCATTTTGTGGCCACAAGGAAGCGGTGGCTGCTGCAGGCGGCGGAGGGGCCGTTGCTGGTGATCCGCAGTCCTGTCCCTGGCTGGGAGCAGGGCTGCCCCTGCCAGCCTCCGCAGGCAGCCGCTCCGGAGGCAGAGGTGAACAGGCACACAGGACACACGTGCCCCTCTGTGCACGTGTGTATAGGCATGATTTATTGACACAGACACATGCATGTGTGCACACAGATGAGTGTGCTATGCACCATATGTATGTGGACACTGGGGAACAAATCTAGGGTGCTGCGGGGGGTCTCAGCTGTCCATGGAAGCAAGGCCAAAGGATCCCGTAGCCGCTCAGCCAATGGATCTAGGATAAGGCATTCCCTCCAGCTGTGCAGGCACGTGGGCATTGCAGGAGTGCACCAAGGGGACAAAATTTCCTTCTGGAGTGAAAAACATGTGTTTATTTTTTTTCTGTGAATAATGTGTAAAGTACTCAAAGTAATTTATGAAAAATGCAATTTAGTTGTTTCATTCTGAAAAGAAATTTCCCTCTGCTTGTACTAAACGCGTTTGTTCCCTTGTAGGTATGAACTAGGAGCAGCCTTGTTCATAGGCTGGGCTGGAGCGTCGCTCTGCATCATCGGCGGCAGCATCTTCTGCTTTTCCATAGCAGAAAGCAGCAGCGCCCCAAGGTAACGCGCAAGCTGTGCCGCCCGGCAGAACCAGTGTCAGCCCCTTGGTGCCTGCTGGGTGCGGGCAAGTCTGGTTACTTGTCCAAAGCCCTTTGCTTTCCTCCATACAATCCTCATGAGGTACCGCGAAAAGGATTGTATGGAGGAAAGCAAATAGTGGGATTTAATTCTCTTTCCTTCATTAATGTAGTTAAGAAAAGCTACTGAATCCATTAACAAAAGTATTATATATACTTAATAGGTGTGTTATAGTTGGAAAAAGATGAACTCGGTGGTGTAGGAAATGTGGTCAGGTCCCCTTAGGAATGAGAGTGGAACACTTGGGGACAGGTTTCTTTGACCCAAAACATCAGGTGAGAAGTTACAGAGCTGAGAGCCAGTGGTGGTGGTGGTGGCAGTGGAGGAAGAGGGGTGAGCTGGTCATGTTTAGTCTGGAGAAGAGAAGGCTGAGACGAGATTTGATTAACATGTTCAAGTACCTGAAGGGTGATTGTAGGGAGGATGGGATCAGGCTCTTCTCCGTGGCCGGTAACAGGACGAGGGGTAACGGGTGTAAGTTGAAACACAGGAAGTTCCATCTCCATGTGAGGAAGAACTTCTTTCCTGAGAGGGTGATAGTGCCCTGGAACAGGCTGCCAAGGGAGGTTGTGGAGCCTCCTTCTCTGGAGATCTTCCAAACCCGCCTGGATGCCACCCTGTGCCACGTGCTCTGGATGTCCCTGCTGGAGCAGGGGGGTTGGACTAGATGATCTCTAGAGGTCCCTTCCAACCTCAACCATTCTGTGATTCTGTGGTGAGGAAGAGGCCCAGCTGGGGTGAGCAGCTGTTAACATGGGATCTGCCGCAGCCCAAACGATTCATCTGCTTGGGCCCCTCATTTTCTTGGCTGTGAACATGGGGCGACGCTCGCGTGGAAGTGAAGCGCCAAGTGAGACGCTGGAAGATGAAACACCCAAGATGGAACGAGATGGCACATGAGGAGGTGTTCCCCCTGCTCCTGCCTTAACCCCTGTGCATTTCCTCTAGTTTTGCATCAGTCTAATGCTTGGCTACAGAGCTGTTCCCTGTTGTGGGGAAAGCTGTGACCGGGCGGTTCTCTTTTCTCTTCAGGATGGGGTACGCATATAACGGAGCCACATCCGTGATGTCTTCCCGCACAAAGGTCCACACCAGCGTCCCGGACAAGTCCCCACCAAAGCACTTTGACAAGAACGCGTATGTTTAATTGTACTGGCCCAGGATCCAAAGCCAGGTCTAAAAATCAATTTGTATGCTTCAGAGAGTGATTCTTTTTCCCCCCAAACCCAATGTAATTACCACTAAGACGACGGATTTTTAAAATATTAACTTGCAGCTTTTTACATATTGATGTAAATTTTTTAATACAATATTTTAAGATTGATGTTGGTGTTGTCAAGTTCATACCTGCAAATCACGTGCTCACGTTGCCTTCCAGAACAAACAGGCCAGGTATTTACGGATGCAGGATGTCCGCACGGCCCCCTGACACGTAGTTACTGCGGAGCACCCTCCAGCCAGCCCTGCGCCGTGCAGGTTCCTAGGGAAAGCGCCGCGACACTGCTCTGATTTTGAGAGCGCGTCGTGGCTGCGGTGCCTGGCAGAGCCCAGGCTCTCATGGCATTAGTGCATGGCCAGGAGTGGGAGCGAGAGGCCCATCAGGCAGCTCGAAGCGCTAGGAAGAGGAGGAGGAAGAGGCTGGGGCAGGAGAAGGAAGCGCCCGGGCAGGCAGAGCAGCACGGAACAGCCTCAAGCCGCTGGGTTAAGCAACGGGAGGGAAAAACCCCGGGCGATACCAGCCGGGCTGCTCCGCGAGCGACATTCCTGCAGGGCTGCGCGCCTAGGAGCGCGCGGCGCTCGACGGCACCTTCCGAGCGGGGCTGCAGCTGGTTAGAGCAGTGCGGAAATCCAGCGGGTACTTCTGCTTCGCATGTCTACAGAAATGTGAAGGCTTTTGCACAATTCACATTCGCTAAAAGAAGATCAGGGATTATAAATATCTGCAAAACACTTTCTAGACCGAGACCCTATAATTAGGCACAAAATCAGGGTCTATCCTGACATCTGAAGAGCTGAACCCTCAGAGTGGCGTTAAATTGGCTACTTTGGGGAAAGAAAGCTGTAAATATGAACAATGATTAGCCCTATTTATTTATGGCACAGTGTGATAGAAGATGAATGTCTTATATCTGATACCATCTAAAATACGGCAGAAATACAAACCCATTCAAGCTCTTTATTTTATTTTTGTACTTCAGCTAAGTTAAAGCATCATTGTGCTTTTTCTGAGAAGGTGCCACTATGGGCAAAACGAAAATAAGAAAGCACTAGCTCAGTGGCAGGTCACTACTTTTCTTACCTCAGCTTGGTGTTCTTCTTTCTTTCCAGTTTCTGTAATCTTATGTTAACTTGCATAAGACTCTATTCTAATAGGAAAAGAAAAACAGAAAGAAAAAAAATTAACTCTCCAAAATTGAAGTTGTTCAATAACAATGAATTTTATAACTGAGGCCATTTTCTTTTTCATTTTGTGTTTATTGTAAACTGTTAGAAATGTAACATTTTAATACATGGAAATACTTTATTTGAAATGTTCACAATTTTATATAAAGTTTATGATAAAATACAAGAAAAATATACATTTAAAAATCTTATAAAATAATAATCTGCAGTAAGTTCTGTTCATTGATTAACAGGTTTTCTTATAGCTTCAGTCTTAAAAGTAAACATTAGAGGCAAAACCTTCAGCCCAGGGAAATCAGAGAGGTTTTTGCCATCAACTTCAGCCCCACTAAGAATTAACTCTGAATTTCCGAGCAGCCATGGCCAGCAAGGTGTATTTAAAGACTCTTTGTTCCCAATTCAGGGTTGAAAGACAAAGGGCTCTGTAAACCACAGTATTCCTGGTTATGACATAAACAATATGACAAATGACTATGAAGCAATTTTGAGGTCTTCAACTAAGTTTCCAAGCCCCACAGAACCCCCAAACCGTGCCTCTTATTAGGAACACAACAATCAGATATCTGAAGAATCACTCCAATCTGTTACAGTGACTAAGCTGCTTTTTAATGTGCTTGTATTATCCGCTTCATGAAGGCCTGTTAGAAACAGAAGAAAATATTAAAAATCATTAGTAGTATCTCTGGGCTATTTTTCCATATATTGATCTACAACATAAAATCATGCGCTATGGGAACAAACACCTGGGGACTTCAGGAAGTCCAGAACTTCAGCCAGTGGGGAAATTACAAATGCTGCTAGCATGAAGGAAGCTTCTGTTGCAGAATATAATGCACAATACAAGCAGTCAGTGTCAACATTACTTTCCTTTTAAAAATGACCTGAAGCATCTTTTCTATAAATGTAATAGACCCAGTTTTAACCTTTATTATCTGGAAATGTTAGGACTGGAAAATCATATAGACTAGTAATACAAAGTCCTTTAGTATGTACAATTGATGTTCTTCCCTTACCAGTGATTCAGATACTTATCTCAGCCTTGCAGGTCACAAGACATGGGTCTTCAATAAATTTAAGAGCTGATTATTATTCTCAAGGCAAGGTTATTTTCATAGTGCCCTTAGCACCCATTTTGGAAAGCATAAACAAAATTTCCCAGCTGGTTAATTTTTAAGACAATGGTTGAAGCCTAATAGTAGCGTATGTTTTAAAACATCAAATCTAAGTATTTGGTGTGTTGTGTATTTACAGGCATATGTATTTGTGGTTTTATATATTTATATACATACACAAATATACACACACAAACACGGATATGTATGTAGGTAAAGATACTTTTTATACACACACACACGTGTATGTAGAAAAACAACAAACATGCAACTTTTCTTTTTGTTCTTTTCCTGTAATTTCTTGCACGGTATTTTACAATGTGCAACACACTACACAAGTTCTCCTCTAGTTGTGTATGATGCTTAAGATTTATACTGTAAGAGCCTGCTGCTGTTACCTTCCTCTTTTGGCACACTTGTCTTGGGAAGACCCCACGCGTGCACCACGGATGCAGCATTTGCCTCGGTTTTCTGAGCAGCTTGTGCCTTCTGACCTCTCCCTGGTTTCATCAACAGAAGGTCATCCTCTACAGATGAGATATCCCAGTCATCTTCATCAACTTCTGTGAACTAAGAGAATAAAAAACAAACATTTTTCTCTCTATGTCTTTGAGTTCTTCCATAAACCAAACAATGTGAAACTGCTGAGGAAAAGTGCAGAAGTGGTGCTTGGCCCCTCTGAGATCTATCACCATCATTTTAACCCCAACATGTTTAAAAATACGTGAATTATATTAATTCACTACTATGCTTGCAAAGCTGTAATTTTTTAAAAAAGTCAGGAAACGCAAAAATTAAATAGCCATTTCTATAACTGGCAAATATGTGGGGTTTTTTTTGTGGAATAACATGTCTAACTAAACAGGGGGTGTCTTTGCTGGGGAATTGGCTTACCTGATACGATCAAAAAACCTTTTAGACTTTAAATATGACTTGCATTAAAGCTACTGTGTGTTATCTTGCAAGGTGGCAGTTTGATAGCTGCATAAGTTTCCTTGTTTACACTGCATAAATTTAACATTGCAGACCTTTTGAATTTTAAATTAATTTACTTAAAAGGGACAATTAAAAATAGTATATAGAAGAACCCTCGTGCTCAGAGCTAGGATATGGATTCCTCCTAGGACTCACTGTCAGCATGTGCAAGTATTTTTTAAGTAAAGCAGCAGATTTGCATAACGACTTCGTGAAGTGAGAGCCAAGTCAAACAGAGGAAGGCTACAAGTCCAGGGCTGCTCTTATCTCGTCTGCCTGAGAAGTAAGTGTCTCAGCTCTGAAAAAGGAGCCACAGCATTTCCCTGTTTGTCAGTCTGCTGTGGTTCATGGCTGTGAGCCATTTTCAGAGGGCCCGACTGCTGCAAGAGAGCTGCTTTCTCACAGAGTTAATATCTAATTTCTCTGAACTTTCTGAAGGTTACAATCAACTGTCGACTGTCCTTACACTGCACAGAGGAAAGAGGCAGATGTTCCTGGAAAACGATGCAGGTTACCTAAATACCAGAGAAAAGTCTGCAAATAGGAACGTGTAGCGTGTCTTGACAGAAGTGAAGAGACTGAAGTAGCATACTTCAATTCTTCACATTCATAACTGTTACAGTCTGATTTTCAAAAAGTGACAGATCTGCTCAGTGTGCTGTGTTATTAACATACCAGGATTCAACATTTCACTGCTCTAAATTATATACATTTGGAGGGTGTGGTCCTGAGAAAGACACAGTCACATATTCGGAAATGCTGTGGTGAGAGTTTTTTTGAATAGTCACTCAGTCCCAAATTTTTAAAGTTTAAAATCCCAAAATAAAGTTTAAAGTCCCAAATTTTTAAAGTTTAAAATACAGAAAAAAGAAGTCCCCTTTGAACAGAACTCCTCATATAGTTTGGATCAAATGTAACTACACACCACTACTCAAAACTACGATGTATTTTTATTAACTCAAAGATTTATTCCAAAGAAATACCCTAACCAATAAAAAATCTGGTAGGTCTGAACTCCAGGAATATGGCTACAGCCAAGCTGAAATATCACATTCCCTACAATGTTTATAAAATATTTTCTGTAAAATGTGACCTCTATAAAACATATGACAACAAGATGTCTTAGAAAAATTTTGGGGAACTTAAGTTCTGGGCTTTGATAATAACTATTATCAGTTAAGCCAATAAAAATGTGGATCACATCCCCTAAATTTACTCTAAAATATATTTTTTACACTATTATTTTGTATCATCTGAATTTGCAGAGTGTTTGAAAGTAACATTTGAACACAAAATTACACATATACACAGCAGTCAGGTCTGATTGGATGGTTTTGCCCCTGGTGTGATTTGCAGCTCCCATGCGGTCAATGGACAAGGTATTTGCTGCCAGTGACAAATAAAAGCACATGGCTAAAATGAATACCCGACCATCACAGTTCAAGGTGATTGAGATTATCACCCCTTTCTGGAAACTGATATAGAGGTGTCACTATTTATGTGAGGAGCAATTCTTCAGATAAAATATCAGACTCTCATCATCTCAATTTCAGATTCAATTGCCAGGACACCCTAAGATATCAGTTTTATTATGGATAACATGCTTTTCAGTAATTATTATTTGTATAGTTTAAAAAGAAATAGATTTTCATTGGTTGCAGAACTATTGTTTGGCTGTCCATTTTGTAACAAACACTAAAACTGAAGTAAATGAGCACTATCTGCTGCTGATTTGTGGTCTGGAGTAACTTTTGATTCAAAAAACTTTTTTGGTAAAGATCAATGTCCATTGATGTGGCTCACCAATTACAAAACTCTAAAGTAAGGGGATGATGTAGACGTTAGGAAAGCCTGAAAGGAGGTAAAGAACTTGCTCTGTTAGCATTCTGAATGTGAACATGTGCTAAACTCAATGCACAAACATCCCTGCTACTTCGCCTGCAGTTTGAGGAGAGCATATGATTTGTAGATACATGGAGCAAAACAAAGACCATATACAGAAATGGAATTTGTCCCCTTTTGAAAATGCAGTAAAAGTTCCATATCAGATAAAGGTCTAGAAAAAATATACTCTGAAATACTAGATAAGCTAGGTAAGCAAATTGAGTTTTTTGTCCATCAGAAACAAGACTCTAGGAAAAGTGAGTAAAGAAGAGCTGCATCTATGCTGCTAACATTAGAGGTAAAAGGATAGTGATGGTGCCCAAACTTCTGACAAGCTGCAGTGCTCCAGGGCAGTGGGGCTATAAGCTGCTACCAGGCGGTGTGGATGAAGAGGTCCCGTGTCACAGCTCACTCCTAACACCCTTTTATAAACAGTGCAGAGGTACCCTCAAAAACTCCAAAACTTTCTTTGAGAAGACAGTTCTCCATTGCTTCCAAAGACTCTCAGAAGGAAATGTAAATAGAAAATGGAAATAGAGCTCATTCCATTACTTAATGAAATAATAATGACTTTATAAGTGATACCTTTAGTTCCTGCACCTCTTCTTTCTTAACAAACGCCTGTGCAACGTTAACCCCTCCAACTGGTTTATTCTTATTTCCATGGTTAGAAAGACTCTTTCCAACTTGCTCAGTCATTTTTTGAATAACTGTTCCTAAAATTAATAAAAAATATATTGACAATCTTCATTAACGAGTAAGGCAAAAAAGATATTTCTTTGTTAGCAATCACTTGAATTGAGAGAAATAATTAAAAATATGTATCTATGTCTTCCCCCCAATACTACTAAAAATAATATGCTTTTAAATCAATTATTTCATTCATATTTGTAATTAAAATGATGTTAAATTCTATGTGTATTTATTTTAATCATTTGGATGCAAAATACATTAGTTTACATATATTTCTCCTCTATCAGTCTGCAAATTCAGCAAGTAAACTAAACTTTACAAAGTTAAACTCTCATTACATAGGTTCTGCAAGTCAAAAGTAGATATTTAGGTGCCTACATATCACTTCCAAAATTCATCTCGAATATATAATCTTGAAACACCAACATCTTGAGATGTGAACTGATGATGCATTTTTAATAGCAGCCAAATCAGCTCAGGAAGCTTCTCTGTTCCTCTCTCCCCTCCACTGCAGGCTTTATCACTCCCTCACTTGCACTGATGGAATCGTGCTTGGGGCTTTACTGTAAACCCTCAAAGTGTCTTTCACAAAATAAAAATCATTAAAATGTGGAGAAAAACTGTTCTAGGCTGAATGCCTCTCTGAAGCAGAGATCATGTATTTTACTGCATTTATATAAAACAGCATGATACTGCTCTAACCCTACCTGACATCTCTGAGGACTATAAAATATGTTAGTGAAAGAATAAAGCAAGTGCACATATGCACTCAAAAGTGTTAATGTAAAGAAAGGCACATGCACTCCAAACTTGACAGTCTGGCTTCAGCAGGTCTTCTAACACAGAAATAGTATCAGCCTAGTCAAAATCATGTGACACTTCTTTCTTGGAAAAAAAATAAATAAAAATAAATAAAAATAAAACCTTTTGAAGTTTTGGCAGGTGTTTCAGCTTCCTCCATTTCGCTTTCCTCAGTCCCATCCATATCACTTTTGCCAGGAGCCATCCGAAAAGCACTGACATTGTTGCTTGATGTTTTTGACTGTTTCTGCAGTAATTCTGGTGATATGTAAGCCTGCTTAATATCATCATCATCCACTTCTTCCTCTGAGCTGAATGGTGGAGTTCTAAGCCAGAACACACAAGACCCAAGAACTTACCAGGTTTCTGTGACTGCACCGATACACATATAGTTAAACTTTATTGTATTTTTCTTTCAAGTAACATGCACATTTTTCTTATTTGAAAAAAACACCCAGCAACTTCCATAAATTCTCAGTATATATAAAACTGTTTAGAAGAAGTCATATTACTAAGTAAACAGAAATAGTTATCACAAAACAATCTCTTATACAGGCATGGTTATCTCTGTCTAGGCAACTGTCTTTACAAAACCAACACCCCAGACATGTAGCAAGTTTTGCCAGACAAAGACATGCTTTCATGGTTCAGAAAAAAGAGCAAAGTTCAGGACCAAGGACTTCCCACTATAAAACATCTGTTATTTTGCTAGATTAAATAATTTAGGACTTTTTCAATGTGGTTTCCGAAGTTAACATAACCACTGAGCTAGTCATTAGATGTAACAACCAGATCCAAACTATTTCTGTCTTGACAAGTTTGAAAGTGCATTTTGACTGGTATCCAAAAAAAAAAATATATAGTGCCATCTGATGCGACTGGAATCCAGAATATTGTATTAATCCTCATCAGAGTAAGACACTTATCAATCTTTTTTTTTTTTGGTGTGTGTGTGTTGCAAGCATATCAAAATCCAGTCATCAAAAATGCTTTCTTCTAAAGCATGAGAGAACAAAACATACGTGATACTAGATGTCTTTCTGGAAAGTCCATCTCCAAAAAGCTTCCTGGATCTAAAACAATAAGACACATTATTTTGAGATTAGTAGTCAACTGCATACACACAAATTTTATAAAGAGGCAACGTGAATTCTCTGCTCAATTCTTACAATATTAGCTGGAAATATTCACATCAATTCCCTTATCCACTATATGGAAAGTCAAGAAAAACAAACCCATAATATTGTTACAAGTTAGGAGAATATTAGAAGAAAAAGCATCTCTTACTTTGGTGTAGATGTATTCTCAGTGACAGCTGCTCTCTGTCCAGCTGGGCGGACAGCTGTTGAAGGCCGTTTTACTGTTTTTTGTGGTATTGCAGATGAGGAAATTCTCAGTTGATTGAACTTTTGTTTATCTACAAAAGAAGTTATGTACCTCAGTATTAGAAAAAAATGTTTGCTATATTTTATATTAGAATCTGATTTATTTCTAAAATGAAAGATGGCACTGCTACAGATTATGGTGTTACAAAAATAGAAGGAAAAAAAGTAACTTTTTTCCCCCAAAAAACAGTGCAAGCAATTGAGGATCTTGCCAATTATAAGAGCCAAGATTTCCACATTAAACAATACATCAAGAAATCTTTAAAGAAAATCATTTAGTTGGTTAGAACAATACAGAATATTTATGTGAAAAATTATGAAAGCAACTACTCAGTGTCTACAAATCCTTTAAGTCTGATACTTAGGTCACAGACATACAAAGGGATTCAAAAAACCTAAAAAATAAAAATTATTATTTTTTTAACCTTCTGAAGGAAGATGAGGGCAGGAAACAAATCTATTACAAGATGATGATTTCTCCTCAATCCTAAAGCTGACTTGGCGTTCCAGATGCTCTCGAATTCGCTGAATGTCAGGCTCTTGCTTCTGCTTGTGTTCTCTAGCAGACTCAATAGCATGTAAAATTCTATTTAGGCGCTCATTTGGGATACCACGAACACCCTAAAGAAAAAAATTGTGCTGTAAGAAAAGGGGCTAATATAGGAGGGATTTGTATTCCACAACCATATACACTCTTACAGTAACCATAAAAAATTCAAATATTGGACAGCTTGTGGCACACAGCACAAAAGCTGATAACAGCTCACTGGTGAGATCATACCCACCACTGCTATAACTGATGGAAAATCTCCCAGGTTAACAAATTACACTGATTTGTAGCAGCTGGAAATCTAGCTCTGGAGTTTCGAGCTTGAGAGGTACAATGCAGAAGTGGAAGAGAGTAGTAAAAAGCGAGGCAAAGACTCCCTCCTTTTGAATAATTCAAGACAAACTTACTGCTTTAATTCCCAAGGATTCCAGCTTCTCTTCCAGGGCTTGCTCTAAAACAACTCGCAATTCTTTAGTTAAGGATGGATCAGTCTTCAAAGCATTTATTAAATGTTGGTTACTTCTACCTGTCTTATGATCGCCTTTCTCAATTTCTGAAATAAGAATGGAAAATTACTTTTCAAAGACATCTGAAAAATCTACAGGACATTAGACTGCATTGAAACATGCACTTCTTAGAAACACCAGTGATGTATGTGTGTATGTTATGCCTACACAAGAGCTGTATTTTTTTAAAATCTGGGGCTAGCTTACAAACCTCAGCTTACTTAGAATGTCTAACTCAGCACCTAGTACTCACCGTAATAAGTGACCTCTTTTCCTTGTTACAGAACCATCGTAAAGATATTTGCCTGAGTATTTAACAACAAAGACCTAATTTTAGAACTGAACTTGGAGTTTCTGATAAAGAAAGATTATCTTTGATAATTACATTTCCTAAGAGTTCTATTTCAAATCAAAGCTAAATTCTAGTTAACACAATAGCCTTGTTGTCAAAATTGCCTCAACACAATGTTCTCTGATAAAATGCTTATTGAGACTGAGTCTTCAAAAGTTACTTAGCACTTTCAAAAATGTTAACAGACAAATCCTTAGTCTGAGGCAGACCATTTCACCGAATATACCTGACTGATACTACTTATCTTTAAAACTCTTCCAAATACAAAGTTCAGGGCCATGTTTTCTTCTGTGCAGGCCTATGACACCATACATCCATAAAAGCAGAGGAAGAAGTTTCTATCTCTTTCATTTTTTTTAAGTGTCAGTAATGACACTCACTCTTACACAGGAAATTATCATTTAGACAGATGCTACACCTAAATTAAAAACTCATTTCTAAGTCAGGCTTCAGTATTGCACGTTGACTATATAGATGAGTGAGGAAGCAAAATACTGTCACATGGAACCTGCCTGGAAAATGTCTCTGGCAAGATGGAAATATTACTGGATATGTCTTATATCAAGAGAACCAGGAGTCTCTGGTCCCACGGTAAACACTTCTGCAGTTCTGCAGTGGTCAGCAAAGACTGCAAATCATAGGTAAGCAGGCATACAGCATCCCAGAACTTGTACTATAAGCCACACTCCCACCTTTTACATGAAATTCAGGAGGATATCTCTTTCCAACATGGCCTGTAGGGCAGCAGTGTCTTCTGCCACCCCACAGACAAAGAGACAACTGAAGGAACAATTTTATATTGTGACTTTCAAACGTTTTCTTTCAAAACAGATGTGCATTTTTTTCCCATTTTTAAACAGTGTTTACTTAAAAAGCAGCTCAATTTAACTTTAGTTTTTATTGACCAAAAAGAAAGAAAGAGGAAATGCATAAAGGACATTAGATCATTTTGAGAAAGTGTCTCTTGATGGATCCTGAGAAGAACTGTAGGAAATTGAAACTGAGAAAAGAGAGTCCATCTGTGGCACTAGGAGATCTGCAGTTGATCAGGACATTATTTGCCTGAAGTCTTACCCGCTTTTGAGAACCGTGTGGGCAGCACAGACCCAGCAATAAGAGCAACTTGGCTGGAGAGCTGAGTGCTAGAAGAGGTGACTACTGGGCCTTATGGAGTGGCAGGGCTGGAATCTGTGAAGCTATTCCCACTCACAGAGAGGTGCATTAGGCAGTACAAAATTCTCCCGAAGAGTTTCAGACTTCTTATTTTTCCTGGAAGGCTCCAAAGAGCTTTCTGAAAATCCTGTGCCTTTCGGATGTTAATCCTTGCAATAAAATGGATGCATCTAAAATCACTGCTTAATTCATAATTATTACATAGGTATATGGGTAACAATACTATTCAGCATTATCCTAATTAATGATAATATTAATCCTACTAATTAACTTAAGCAAAATCCTCTTTGCAGGAAAGACCTACTTTGTAAGGAAGTTTTCTCATTCATTTCTTAAAAAACAAAAAACAACAAAAGAACAGAACTGGGTTTGACACCTTTGGCGACCTTGAGTCTGGTCCTCTGCCTCAGCTGCTAAAAAAGCTTATGAAATAGTCCCCCAAATCAAGAATTTTCACACTCTCCCTTACAAATGGCTGTCAGTGAAAACAAAAACATCTCGGTCTATCTTTTCAGACTGCATTCTTTCTTTCTATTGTACTCCAGGGCATGTCCCTAGGCCCTGCGTAAGAATCGCAGACAATCCATCAAGACAGGAGATAGCAAGCAAGAGAAATGGCAGAAAGAACGACAAAAATGCGAGCAGTCCTTATTTCAGATGGTGCACTCACTGGATTTTCCCTGGGAAAATCTCTCTGCAAGCACAGGCATATTGAAAAGACACTTTTGTTTTCAAAACAGCAGCAACATCATTCCATCAATATCTAGTCACCATCTATAAGGTTAGAGAGGGATTTTTATTTCTACATATATCTCTGAATTCAGGTATTTGAATATAAGAACTTTGAGTTGCCTCAAAGAAAAGAGTACCGTTCAGGATGAACCAACCCTTTCTGTCCTGCCACTGTAAACGGGCCTTGTCTGGTTTTGCTCAGGTGAAGCAGAGGACGGCTGCAAACCCCGGGTTACAGAATTGCACTCAGAGCTGCGCAACCCTGGCTGGAGGGAGTCACAACGTCCCTTACTTGCAGGAGGACCTCTGAAACATCTGCTGAAGCAGACTATTGGACAGCACCAAGCTCTGCGTTACCACAAACTCGCTTCCCCTGCCTTAATTCCCTCTCCTCTTCCACAGAGTTTGAGGAAGACGCGACCGTACATGGCAGCAGCACCAACCGCCAGATTGTACCACAGAATTTCCTATTAAGGGGGTACTCTCCAGCAGTTATTTTTGTTCTGCTTATACGCAGTGCCTTTAAGCATTTATAATATGGCTATTTTTCCTGTTTTTTTTTTTCCAGATTTCCATAAAAACATTCAGCTTGGATAAGGAAATCATAATATTTACAAGCACCAATAACAAACCGGAAATTAACATGCACACAAGGTCTGTTCCCACCCAAATCAGATAAGCAAACTCAAACAGAGAGAGAAATAAGGTAGGCATCAAATAACATTTACACTTCCATTTTCAAGAAAAAACATGCCACTACCTTTTGATCTGAATCAACCATTACCTTTTTCCTCTTCTGAAAGCTCCTCTATGGGCTCCAGCATATGAACCAAGGGTGCCTGCTCTAATAACGAGGAAGAACAGGAACACCAGACAAACAGGACAGAAGAAGGTCAAGGTCCAGAGTGGGAAAGTTGAGCAAAATAACACACTGATGTCGATTTTCCTGGTTGCTGACAACCTGCTTAGCAATCAAGAAGGCAATGCACATGACTCTTCACAGTCCTAAGTACTACCTTGGCGCAAAATTCTTGCAGGGCAGACCCTAGTATCGCTTTGGGAGTGATTCAGACACCTAAACACGGGTGTCTAGTATAATCTGAGATATGTCACAGTGTCATAATCATCTGCACAACACTGGCTGATAAGATACAGAACCTACAGAAAACTTGTGTCCTTCTGGAAGAGCACCCAGAGGCCAGGCAGGATATTTTATATATCTAAAATGATAAGGCCACCTCAGATTAAGTAAATGAATACTGTCATTCATTTCTCCAGGAGGCATTTGAACTTTAAAACATGTTTTTAAAATACTGTTTATGTCTATATTGGTATTATAGATTGAAAAAGATAAATGAAATGGATGGATGGAGAATTCCTCAGAAATGTAAGGCAAAAAATATGAGTTAAATCATCAAACTAGAAAATTATTAAGTAGAAAGTCCATATGGGCTAGAGAGAGAGAAACCATATGAGCATATTAGGAAACTCAAGAGTAGAGCCTTTTTTTTCAATAAGGACAATTTAAAAAATCTTCAGCGACTCTGCTATACCGAGCTTCAGTTTTGTCACATGCTTAAAAAGATCTTGAAATGCCCTCTGCTGCAAACAGCTTTCTAAGCACACTGGAACTATTATTATCCAGGCCATCAGGCACAATTGCTTTTATACAAATGAAGTCACAGCACAATTTCTTCACAATTTCTTTTTAAGTCTTTATAGACTTACAAAAGCAGATGTAAGAGGAGTGAATGAAAACATTTATATGTAGATTAATAAAAGCGAAGGTTTTAAATGTTAATATTCATTTTGCATTAGTGAATTCATTTCAGCAAAAATTAGAACTTGAGTTTCTTCTGGGGTTTATGACAAAGGCAGAAGAATGTGCAAACTATACTTTCAGCATTCAACTGCTGGCAGTATAGGAAAAAACAATTCATTGGCCAGTACTTAGAAAATTTCTCTTATATTAGTTTGACTTGCACATTTGCCTCAAACTTCACAAAAATCCTTTGGCCCTACAAATGGCTATTATACTCTGTTGGTGGCAGAAGCGCAAGTGGCATTCCAGTAAACTTGCCTGCTCTTCAGTGGTTTTTGTACAGCTTGGTACATTTAGGGAAGCACTGTATGAGCACAGAGTGAAATGAGCACTTGGGGCTAAGTAACAGTTCTTGTCATACCTCTAATGTTCCCAATGTGAAGGGACTAAAAAGTCTGTTGTGAATATTTCGCTATAGTGACTGTTCTCTCTATGCCTTCCATTCTTGCAGCTACATCCAGCCTTTGGCCTGCTTTCTCAGGCAACTTGTAAGATTTAAGATTTACTGCTATATACTTTGCACTAAATAAAAGTCTTTTGGGGGAAAGAAAAAAAAAAGCTATTGTATCATCAAAAGATGCTAACAAGATGTGAAAATCAGTATATTTTATGGGATCTTAAAAACAAAACTCTGAGAGATTCACTGATATATGGGCTTCTAATCTTTTAGTCTCTAAGGCTATAAATTAAACAGTGGCCAGAGCAGCCCTGGGCGGTGGGATATGACCCTCCACACAGCTGAACTCCTGAGGCTGCTCTGGACACGTTACTGCTCTGCGACAACCAACATTTGTCCAAAGAGTAGGCAGGGACAGCTTGGGAACACCACCAGAAGACTGGAGCCAGCCTGTGTTGAAGGACAGAGCTTCCAGTGCAAGAGGGATGTTCCTGAGGAGATTTCATTTACTTGAGTTTTCATTTACTTACATGAGTATAGCCTCAGAGCCTGTTGGCTGGAACTGCCACAGAGCTGGCCGGTTACCGTGTAATTGGATTTAAACTGTAAACCTTCTACCTGTACTTTACTCAAATGCAATCTGCTTAAAGCAGCTGACTCATCTCAGCGCGAGCCCTTGTTGGGTAACTTAATGGTAACAGGGAAAGCCCAATCCTCCGAATTCAGACCTGAAAATAGTCTGCTGATGTCAGAACGGTGTTTCTCTTCCTCAATATACTAGAAGCAAAGGAATTTTAAATCAATAAAAGGATAGTTACAGTAGCAAAAGCCAAAACCATATTATTGCTGTAAATAAAATCATTGTTCACTGCCTCATGACAGATGACATCAAATCCTGAGACATGGGGGAGTGGAACCTCTAGAAATGGCAGTTACTCCAATGAAAGTAGATCTTTTCTTTCTTCCTGCTGTGCACATATATTAAGAGAAATTTATTAATTGTCAGTTTGGAAGCCAATGCGAATGAAACCAGCTTGGTTCACATCTCCGCTGTTAAATAGATGGCTGGGGAGACAAGCTCCTAAGGACCTATGTTTGTCAGGGAAGTGCTGCTCCTAGCTGTCTGATCAGACCTCTTAGCTCTCGACTTAGTGCACTCAGCCATCCTTGAAATCAGCAGTACATACGCAAAACATTCTAATATTAACAATCTGCTTCTTTGGAATCTTTTAAATCTGACTATCAACATTTGCCTTTCTGTTAATCACCTGCTGTAAACCTAGTTTGGCTGACCCTTGCGGGCTCTGCTCCATAGCAACACCCTCAACATCAGACCTTGCGGTCCAGATTCTTATTTGTTGCTTTAGTCCCAGCCTGAATGTGAAACCTAGACAAGCAACTATCTTCCCTCTGAACTCACACCTGCATTTGAGTCACTTGCTCCAAGGCATTTCTCAGTTCCCCGCTCCAGAGGGACACAGCCAATGAGCACCCAAAGCGCTTTCTTGCCTACTGCACAAGGAAGACACAGCCAATGAGCACCCAAAGAAGCGCTTTCTTGCCTACTGCACAAGGAGCCCAGGAAGCTGCGGCAAGGAAGGCGGCAGGAGGTGCCACACAGTCACCCCCTCTGCACCACCACAGGACCAGCAGAACCAGAGCTTGGCCTACCCTGGAGTCCAGGTGAAACTCGTTATTTTGTTCCCTGACTCTAATCTCCAGCCCTTCCTTGGGTCTCCATCTTAACTCAACCACAATCATACCTCACTGGCCGGTGCTGCCCTGAACGTAGCCACACTGATGCTTGCCCTAGCTAAGCTCAGCCTTCACAATGATGGAGTTTTTCCTCCACAATCTCCAGAATATCTTTTCTGCCAGCTAATGCCTGTCATCAAAAGTACAGGTTGCCTTAAATTCTTCAGTGGATATTATAACGCTAAAATAATGATGCCCCTGAATACTTGCTTTTGTACATACCTCTAAATATCTGTTTAAAATAGTTTCTGAAGACAAATTGCTTGCAGGTGGAATAGGAAAATATATTTACTAAATGCAGGCCATGTGTATTTCAAGCATATCATGTATTAATTGCCTGTTCTTATCTAGTGGCACTCTGACATGACAAGGATGTAAGGCATGGTTACAAATACAACCCAGTCCTTTCATATTTTTTTGATTTCACACCTAAAGAGCTGCCAGACTTCATCTGTGGTACCCATCGTTTTAACAGTCCATTCTGAATCAATGAGCTCCCTAAACTTGCCTTCTAACTAATCAAAGGAAAGTCATATGCTGCACAAAAGCAGTCTGAATATATGCTTATAATAACATTAACTTTAAAACAATATTTTTAAATATGACCAATTTTGGACATTGGTTTAAAGGTCTTCAGGCATCTAAATTATGAGTCTAGTCATCTCAGATTCCTTCTACAATCAATGAAAAGACACCGGTAACTTCAACGAGTAATTCAGATCTTAGTTCAACTGAATCAAAATCAGGAGGAGCCCCTTTCCTCCATTAGCTGTCCTGGAAGATTGTTATGACTGGATTCTCCTCACATGCTTCAGTTAAGTCCCTAATGATGGCTCGGTTGAAGTTCACAACAGGTTTTAAAACCAAGTTTTATGTTTCAGTGTTGCCCTAATATCTTTGCCTTTTATCTGCTGTCTCCAATACCACCTAAGAAAGATTAAACATTGAGCAATGTCAACATTTTGAAGATGATACAAGAGCCTAAGACCATTTAAAAAAAAAGAAAACATAATTCATCTGTAGCCTTTTCATGAGACTGAAGTCATTGATGAAAATAAGATTTAACAGCTATCTTAGAAACTCAGAGAAAAGTCATGCTAAGATGGCATTCCACAGAGACAGGCCTTACTAGTTATCCAAAGAAATCAGCAACATTTTGATAGGAAAACTACAGATATTCTGATGTCAGAGATGTATCCTGCTAAATAAACTTCTATTTGGAAGGCACCAGCAGGCACTTTCATTTTGATAATGGCATCAGATGCAGCCATGATATCTTAATTCAGCCTGTAACTCAGACCCTTGAGGAATCCTAAAGTCTGGGGAAACGCGCTAGAATTTCTGCTAACCTTTATATCCAGAAATTAGGTAGGATAATTACAAAAAAAAAAATCCATGAGGAAGGGAAGAAAGGGGACAGAGAGACCTGCAGAGATAAATAAAATAATCATCAGCAAAAGAATCAGAAGAAGATACTTTTTCTACTGTTTCATAATAAAGTGATAGTGAATGTTATCTCAGAAGTTTCTTAAGTTGCCACAAACTTCACATCTATGGTAGTGAGAAACAAAAATATGAATGTGATAACTTAAAGAGTCATAGAACAAAAATTCTAATGTTCACAGAAACATGAAAGGAGATGGACTAAAAATGTCTTGACAAATTTCGCATGGAGGCCCCTCAGAAGCAAATCTCTTCATAAGACTAGATTTTTAAATTCACAGCAATAGCTAAGCTACGTGCTGTGAACTATCTTAACAAGAACCATTGCTTTCTCGGTGCAATGAAAGCTGTATGGATGAAAAATAAGAGGACTATTTTAAGTACTATTATCAATAACATTAGTAATATACTATTACTTTTCATTACACAGAAACCTTTCATCTCTATACAGTTTCCCTTATGCTTCTGTCAATAAATAACTATGTCACATAGGCTATTAAGAAATCTCCATATTATTCAGATAATTTTACAAAATAATAAATAAAAAGATATTTTCTTTAGTTTAATACTGTCATATTTAATGTTTTAAAATTCGCTTTCATCAGTTTTTGATTCCTGATCAAATGATCTAAGGATCTGACCAAATTATCTAAGGATTCTTCTTCCCCTCGCATGTCAATTAAGAAAATCTGAATTTGTTGAAAAAGAAAAATTCTGTTAATTTGTCTAAGAAAAATTATATTCCTCTCTCCTTGTCAGGTTATAAAACTAAGAGAAATAATTATAAATCATATTTATACATGATTTATAGTAGTATATATAATATAGTTGTAAGTACTATATATAATATAGTAGTAAGGCTAAATAACTAAATAGTGATCTATAAGTGAGCACAGTTCTACTTTAGAAGAACTGTCTAGATGGGATGACTGTCTATTTTACTTATTTCTGCTGTATTTTTACTCCTTTATATTTGACGACACGTGAAAAATATAGTTTCGAGACGCAGTATAAACAAATATCTTCACATTTTTCTCTATGCACATTCCAGTATATGCAGATACCACAAAATAAACCTATTTTCTAAAAAAAATTGTTTTATTTCCCCTTTTAGTTTCTTTGAACATTAAGTGCTCCAATAGTTTCCATCGCTTAGGAAATATTCTGAAAATATTTTCTCTTTCTTTTCTTATACAAACAGTGTCACACTTTTCCACAGTGTCCTTTTCACAACTATTTCCTAGGAATTCTCAATGCAGACATGCAGCAGAGCCATTCACATTTTGTTCTTTCAGTGTAACTACTCTTACAGCTTTGATTCAGCAAGTAGCACATTTCAGAAGACAGGGTGTTAGTCATGCAGGTACCGAATCTGCACCTACCACAAAAACTTACCATGCATCACAGGTAGACTTGATCTAGATTCCACAAAAGGTTGTACATTAGTGTTCACTAAAAGAGGAAGAAAACAAAAAACAAATGTAAATGTATTATAGTGAATGTTCTAAAAAAGTCACCACCATATGCAGATTCATAAATATAACAACATTTAATCATATTCATGAAGTATGCAATTTTTTTGATTTCAGTAGGAAAAAATAAACCAATAGTCTCCTACCTATATAACATATAGAGTGCAATCTTGGACTGAATTATCACATCAGTTCTGCGTTGCTAACATTTGTTTGGAACCTAAGAGCAAATGCCCCTGTATGCCCTGAGCTTACACTTGCCCGCGCCCAGTGTGGCCATAGAGCCATTCTGTTACCCTCAAACCAAGCCACGTCCTGCTGTTGGATTCAGGTTGAGCCCATGCTCTGCTAACAGGGCAAGATGGTTTCCAAACTGGAATTAATCTTAATCCTGCTGCCATCATCTGTTGCAATAAACCTACTCCAAGGCACAGCAACTGCAACCTCAAACCTAATCGTCTAGGGCTGCATCCTGAAACACAAGTATTACGAGGCATAGCTATTTGTAATGGACTCAGTGAAATTTTGGAAATGAATGGACTGGGTGAAATTTTGAAATGGTGAAAGTCATAGCAGAGATAGATCACCATCAGTATATCATCGGTATACTTAAATTTCTTAAAAATCTGTATCTTAACTGATATATTAATCAATTTTGTTTATGCTTTTAATATTTGCCCTTTTACAAATACTACGGCTTCAGGACAGGCTCATCAATTTCTATGTTACAAAGCAAAACGAAAAGTTGCTAATATCACACAAAATACAGATACCATATTTCATATCTCTTCACTGCTACGTATACCAACTTTGCACATCACAAGACTGTACAGCTACAAAATATGAGCTTTGGAAAACAGTACAAAGGTGTAGAAACACAGAATTACAGTCGGGTTTTCTGAGAAACACAAATAAATTTCAAGTATTGAATTTCAGTATTTAATTAATAAAGTGTACATCTATAATCTTTAATAAACTAAAACGCTCTGAACTCTTCAGATGAGAAACAAAATCTGCTTTTTCTTACAGTTTGCACTTACCATCATATGGTTTAATACTTGCAGCTGACCTTGTGGACAATTCTTTTATCTAAACGAAAAAAGACAGGAACATGAACAGTTAGAAACTAGCGATACTAGAAATACATAATTAATGTAAAATACCTCCTTTCAGTAGTGATGCATGGCAGAAACTCATGTTAATGATGTGGGGATACACTGTTATTCTCTTTCTTTATTCATCTACCTAATGCATAGTTCAGACATTCATGCTTAATGAATGCTTAGGACTTACTCTGCTTGCTACCTTGGATGACTTCATGCTGTGTACACCATTGATAACACAAACTTTGAAGTGAAAACAGCGTAGCCTTACAGGCCATTTTCACACTTACAGCTCCAACACCTTCTGATTCAGCAGTTCATGTTCAGTTTTGCAAATTAGCTCCACTCCAGGAAAACATTAAAGCACACAATGGATTTTAGCTGCATGAACAGTTCTCCTGTCTCTCTACAGTTCTTTGCTACTCCAACTATGTGCTGAACACACAGCCTAGAGAGCCTAGAGAAAGCAAACGGATTGTAATTCAGTCCAAAGAAAAGAGGAAACTGGCGAGCCCAGAAGCTAACCCCAAACAGCACAGACACACAGTCAGTACCACCTACTGCTGCTGCAAGATACTAGACCCTGGCCTCCCTGTTCAACACTTCAGACACAGGCAGCAGAGCCTCAATTCATGGCCTGTCAAGTTTGGATTCTACAAAAGTGCCAGCTATTTCTCAAGCTCTTCCAGTTTTAAAATATTGAGAATGCAGATCTTCTCTGTGAAATAATTACACTTCATAAAAAGCAAACTTGGATTCCCCTGAACTTATTTTACAACTGTGGTATTACTACTTTTTTCCTCAAAGGGTCACTTCAGGTAATTTGCTTAGGACTAAGAAGTCCTCCTCTATTGCACCTTCACTGAACAGCTATCAAATTTGCTCAGATGGAGACATCTGAAAAGCCGTTGTCTTTCCAAATCTGTAAATACTCATGTACATGCTTATCACTAATATCATAAAAACATGTAAAATACAGGAACAAATGGAGGGCAGCTTAATGGTGGCACAGTCTAAACTCCAGACTAACAAAGGAAATAGATCTTTACCCAGTTACCACCACAAAAGAATCATTGTTTGAATAAAGGTATATTAAGAAAAATCAAAACATTTTCAAAGAAATGATTTCATTAATTAGTCTCACAGTTATAAAAATATACTTTATTTCTAGTGTGAATCATGTAGTTTCACTATATGTAGATTCACTAGATCTCACTATAATCATTTTATGAGAAATTAAATCCTGTCTCTGGAAACTGTGACATAGTAATTTCTCAACTTCCGTTAAACTTGCTAAAAACATTTTGTTTGTTAAATATTTCACTCTAAATCATGCTTTAACTCCTATGTCTCTTTCCAGATCCTTTCAAATTTTTCACCATCATTTCAGAAATGTAACCAAAATACTCCTGTAACATTCTTACCAATCGGAATATTCCCCATGTAACTGGAGATAAATCAGTGACCCAAGGTTAGGAAAGTGTTTCTATGGGTCCTATAGAATTAGATGCTCCCTGAACCCTCGAATGCTTCACAAAACAGACCTGTTTCTTCTGAGTAATAATTAGATCATTCTGTTCCTGAAGCCTCTGCCCCAACTCTTCTATCCTTCTCTTGTAAAAGGTGTTGCTTTTATTCAAGTCTTCTCTCACTGATGATTTAAGCTTCTCAATCTGTGACAGCAGCTAGCGAACAAAGAGTAGAAAAGTAAATCAATATTAGTCATATACAATTATTTCAATACTACTGGGTTTAAACAAACAAGAGTCATGTTTAAATACTTCTTTAAAGGCTTTTTTTTTCCACCAGGGATGCAAGGCTACATGTGATTCCACTGGAACGTGCATGTATTACAAAACAACTGCCCAAATAATTTTTTATTTACACAAGGAGAACTACCTAAATCTCAGCACCAAGGAAAGGATATAAAAACACATTGATGAAGTTACCTAAAAATAAGATTCAGGAAAAAGCCTATGACTGTATAAAGTGTTTTAGTTATGAACGGTGTCAAACAGTGGCATCTCAAGGAAGCAAGATGTGAATTTGCACACTAACCCTAACATATTAGCTCTAAATACAGAAGAGGAACAATATTTTAAGTGCATCATCTCAAAACTAATACTTACGTTACTCCCTCTTATTCCATGTTTGCACTGTACGTGGCTGTATCATTAACTACATCTTTTGGGGGACTGTTTCATGGTTCTTCCCCACTGCTCTCTTGCCAGAGAAGTATTGGCCAGACCACTATGACCTGCTCAGTTTTCACATGGTCACGCAGATGAAGGAAAATGAAAGGAAAGAAGGCAACAGAAAAAAAGTAGGAAGGACATTAAAAAGAAATGTAAACGTATATAAAAAGGGGGGGAATAAAACTTTGTATAGTAAAAAATATAAACAGATGAACAATAAAATGCTATGGTGCCTTTTCCTGAAAAAGCTCAACAGATTCCGAGTTAGACAGCTGTGGAAAAATAAAATAAAATAAAATAAAATAAAATAAAATAAAATAAAATAAAATAAAATAAAATAAAATAAAGAAACAGATAATTGAATGAAAAGAGAAAAAAAGATAGAGACACAAGCCATAGGCCCGCAGTAACCAAAGGTATAGGGTAGATGAAAGCTGTGTATTGCCATTGTGATTGTGACCTATCCACATAACAGAAAACACTGTATAAAGTAGTGCTCATGGAATGGTACAGTTGTAAGCTCTTCAAAACACAGACATAGTTTCAGGTGATCGTCAGATTCTTAACTGATAAATTCCATATCAGTTCTGGTCACTGAATAACAGAAATACAAAGATAACAAATATATCTAAGAGGACACAATTACAAAACTCTTGGGTCTAGGCTTTCTAATCTAACCGATAACACTATAAAACATCAAGAACTACCGCAAGAGTAAGCAAATAGGAACATATCTCCTTGTTGTATGAGTGGTTTGCTGTGCAACTTACCAGACTCTTTTCTGTCTCGTGTTCCTGATGAAGGGCTTGTATTCTAGATGCCCATTTACCTTCCTGTATAAAGGAAACCAATGCTAATTCTTGCTAATTACATGGTAACGTTTACTTCAACAGTTTTATTTTTATAAATAAACATATGCACTGAAAAGGTTATCAATGACATGAAAACTGAGTAACTGCATATTTAAGACCTAGAACAGTTATCACCATGTTTCATATATGCAAGTTGCTACCAAATAGTCTGCATCTGTTTATAAAAGGCCTTGATTTGTGTATGTACTGACTGAAATCGAGAAATATCTAAGTATTTTGACACACAGGACTTACTGGCCAGCAAATTTGCACTAGCATCAGCATCTGAGAGTTCCAGTAGCTCAATAGCTTTGTATAGTTTAAAAGCCACAGGTTGGGAAATCTTGCCTGAAAGCTTCTTTATGTTTTTGACATCATAGAAAATGGAAAAATCCAGTTTTACTGTTATTTCTCTAAAGCAGGCTCTTAGATCAACAAACATAAATGGGCTACTGGAGCCTTTGGGCACCGAACTACAACCACAGCGTATTTGGTATGGCTAGATAATTTTAATAAAAAAGAATAAAGGGAATATTAATGAATAAATGTCAATCGGTTATAAAGCAAAAAATAAAGAAGCAATAAATAAAGAAATAAGTCCTTCATTTTTTAGATTGTACCAAATAGTAGTAAATTTTAAAATCTAGCTATTTTAGATAGAAGGGCAAGAATTTTACTAATGAATTCAAAATCCTATTTATACATGTAAAAATTGAAAAAAATCCAGCAATTTCTCAGAGGTAATACTTTAAGTTACTATGTTACCTGTTTTTCAAGAAGTTTAACCACATTGTGATAATCCTGAGGATTCTGGGGTTTCTCTTCTATAAATTCTTGGCTGTCTTTTAACGTCCCCAAGTTGGATTTAAGTTGCATATTGGACTTCTGTAGTACTAACAGTTGCTAAAAGGAATGGAAAGGGAATTTAAGGCCAGAATACATACACAGATTTTTTTAAACGAAACTTATTTAATATGAAATTTACTTAAAGGTAACTGCGAAGACTTGCATCCCACATATGGACATCAGCATTATTAGTAACTTCCTCACATAAGGAGGATTGAAGAGTGAGAAAATACTAACAACCCCTCTGATACCTTAATGCCTTCAACCAAAATACTGCAATTATGTGAATAAAATACCAGAATACAGGGATACAATTCAATCGTATTTTAAAAATTTCCTAAGGCCTTTCAGATGACTACAGCATGTTTCAAACATCTCAAGCTTACTACTTTCTATCGTAAGATATTTATGCCTTAAACTGTGGAAAAATAAACCACTTACATCTTCTAACGTTGAATTTCTTGAAGATAACTCTTTAAGCTCTTTCATAAACATTTCTTTTACTTTTTCTATTTCATCAGCTAATTTCTCTTTTTCCTCCTCTTTCCATTTATGAAATGATTGTAGAATTTCTTCTTCTTTTGATTTTTGCTGTTCACATTCCTGAAATTATTTTAAAAGCATTATTTGTATTTTTTCCCCATACACAATACTAAGCACCCAAGTTGTCAAACCATGTGTGGCAAACAGTCACTTTCAACGGGCAACACTATGGCATCAAAAACATAAAAAACATAGTTTCTGAAAAAATCTGGAGTAACAAACTATACAAACTAACATTTTGCTGGCAAAGCAAGTAAGCCTCAGGAAGTTTCGAAAGTTCGTTATTTTTCATTACTTAAGAACACAAGAATGACTTTAATTGGTTATATCAAAGGTCCACCTAGTTCAGTATCCTGCTTCCCAGAGAGGCTGTCAGTAGATAAGGAATGTTCTTAGGAGTCTTCCATCTGCCAACTGTTTTCAGCTCAAAGGACTTCTTAAGCCAGATGCGGTTCTGTAAACTTAGTAACTTTCAACAGATTTCTCCTCATGTGCTTTTTCAGTCTCCCCTCAAGGCTGTGTCAACTCTTATCAACCAAAAAATATCTTTATCCAACGAGCTCCACAGATCTACTAAAAGTTTTCTGGAGTACCAATTACTTTTGGATTTAACAATTTTGAACATCTTTTGAAAAACTGATACTTACTGTGTAACTTGCAACTTTGTAGACATCAATATTCCCCACCAAGACCAAGCTGATGTCTCTTTCTGAGGCTGACAACTCTTAGCCTACTCAGCCATACTAAATATAAAAGCTGTTCCTGGATTTGATCATCCTTGCAGTTCTTCTCTGATTTTTCTTTTTTTCACTGTTATATCCTTTTAGATACAGCTGAAGAGACCAGACTCACACACAGTATTTAAGCTGTGGTTAAATCATGTATTTTTCTTAACTATTTATAGTTAAGAAAATATATTTTTCTTAACTATATATCTTGGCTTTCCTTTTCTGATCGCTACTAAGCACTAGACTGATATTTCCATGAAACCATCTATCGTAATATTAAGATCTTGTCCTTGATAATGAGGCTCAGCTCAGGACCCCATCATGTCAGAGATGAAGATCAGATTGTTTTTCTTCCATAAGCACTTATCCTATTTTAGCTGTTAAATTTCCTTTAACATCCATTACTCAGTCATCCATTTTTGTAAAGTCCTTCTGTGGTTCTGAACAACTGGCCTTTCTTCCTAGAAGTTTGAATGACTTAGTATGATCAGCAAACTCTGCTGCCTCACTGCTTGCTCTCTTGACCAAGTTGTGTATGAATATGGTGAACATATCTGTTCTTGAATAGATTCCTGAATTAATCGGAGAACTCTCTCAGGAAATCTATTAGGAAACAGAGGTTGAGCTAATCCTGTCGTCTCCCAGGCCTCGGAACCTATCTTGTTCTTTAGAACTCAGTCTCAGCCAATTTATGGAATATATTTTTGTACCTTCACGACAGAATTCTGCATTATACAGAATACAGAGCTAAAGGAATAAAAGGAGCTGAGCGGATAAAAAGTTCAACAATGTAAGGGATGCCGAATAAAAGCCTCTCTTTTCATATTTGGATTATATTTGAGGAAAAAATCATAACTTCTGGATATGGAATTCAGTTCTAAATGGACAAAAATAGCAAACCTGTAATCAGAATGACTACCTCTGCTATGAGCCTACCTTAGTCATTTCGTGTTTGTGATTCATGGCCTACTTAGGAGTCCCCAAAATAGCTTATCAGGTATAGATACTAGAATATCCTTCTGGTGTATGTAACAATCGATTGTTAAAGGCTAATGTAAAACAGAGATTTCTCTAAATCCATTTCAGTTTTCCAGCAGTGCACACCAATCTAGCTTTTCCTCTTTACTGCCTATTGTTATAAAAATATTTTTCCTTTAAATACTGTTTCTTCTTATATTATAAGAAGGACAATTTTTGTTCAAGTTTTGAGTCCATGTTTATTTCCATATACTAGAAAAACAGGGAAAACAGCAAGAGGCAAAAGGGGAGCAAGGCCAGGCATGCTCCCATGCTACAACATGGTAGCTGTATAAGGGATTCCTCTCAAGCACAGCTGTCCACTCCTTCTCTGCCTTTAACCCTTTATCGGACAAAAATCTGTATTTTCACTGCCCAGAAAACATATACATTTTTGGCAACCCTGGCTCCTTTCTTTCAAGGCATTCACTCTGAATTTGTTTTCCTGCTATCTATAAAAAGCAATCATTCTAGCATCTGGTCACTTAACAAGCACAGGATCTTCAGTGTCCTTCCAGTTCAAAGGAGAAGGGACGAAGAGCCAGAAGCAGTACAGTTTCCATCTGAATCCTCTCCATAGTGGAATTTCTCAAAAATAAGGGAAACACTTTCTCCATTTTCTCCTGAACAAAAGAATGTATGTCAGTGTATGTCAGTAAGAGCAGACAAGCCTCAACTAGTTGCACTTCAAATTCCTATCTTCCCCTACATCATGGAAAACACCACAGGCGCTTCAAAAGTCTCTCGTTGTGTAATGCTGAAGCTAGTAGTTGCGGCATCACAAGTCTCAGCTAAGACAACTGGCTTCAGAAGAGGCTCCTAAGGCAGCCAAAATCCATGCTGCGCTGTTACGAACACCCTGGATTCTGTACCATGAGAAGAGCAGTGCTTAGGGTGTGGGAGAAATGTGGTTGGAGATCTGTCTCTGAAAAGTGAAGTACAGAAGGGATGAGTACGGTTATCCAGCAGTTGCCCATGTAAGTTCGGGCTCAATATGCTGAGTCTTCCTTTGGCAACTTGAGATGAACTCTTCAACTTCCAGAAATAATGTTTCTATCTGAATTTTCAATAAGAGAGAAAAAGGAGCTCTAGCTCCCTCATGCAGTTCTTCACTGAAATACTTTTAAATAAAGCTAAGGCCCTGTCTCATTTCTACCTGTCTTCACCGACCCGCTTTAGTGCAGAGAAAAAGTTGGCAACTGACACATGCTAAAAGTTGGGCATCAGTCTATATTTTCTTCCAGTAAAGGAAATTCCTCATTCTATCAAATAAAGTGATTCAAAGCTACTTTAATCAGAATATTTTATAATGTCTATTTAAAGTGTGAGTTCCAGATACACTTATAGACCAACCTAAACATCTTAAAGATGCATTTTCATAGATCCTGACAGAATTCACGAAGTCAGCACAAGGAACCAAGCCCAATAGCCCACAAGGCTTAGAGCTCCTAGATGTATCTGATAGCATAAGCAAGCACCAATAACACCTACATCTAAACTGCATGGACATCGAAGCATCTTCTGTACTTGCTTCACTACATTGCTAGAAATAGGGGAAGAACAGGAAGCTCTGCAGGGTCCCGGCATGCTCAGACACTGTGAGTGACAGTAGGGGACAACCTGTGGCTGTGGCTGTCAGTGACTGCTGTCTCCCTGGAGAGGACTGTCTCTTGCAAACAGGTGGCTGTGCTGTTTTAGCAGTCACTGGCACTTTTGCTGTTGATTCTTCTATGGGAAATAAGGTTGCTCATTTGGTTGTTTGCTGGTTTCAGAGCTGGCAGCTCCTCTTTCTTCTGGTGGCTTTGCAGGGCATCTTGAATGTGAGTGTGGTGTTCAAATTAGATTTTCAACAGAAGTTGGAAAAATGTAATGGCCATGGTCTACAGAATTACATTTGGAAGGGATAGGAAGAAGTCAAAAAAAAAGATATAACACAATTTATAAAATCAATTACAATTTATAAAATAAATAGACTAAATGTAAAATACTCTGAGAGAAGAGAAAGAGGATGACTAAAGAAATGAAGGAGAGAGACTGAAACTGTGTTCAGGAAGGGAAACACTGCGTGTTTTAAAGAATAATGCTTTTTTATTTCCTCTGGAAATAAAAAAGAAAATAATTAGTCAAAGCAATTGTCTTATTCTTGTTAAATTCAAAATTTTATGTCTCTTTTCAAACCTAATGCTCAGTATTATATTTGAGGATCCTCAAGCTATACAAGAAAAGCTATATAGCTATATTGTATAGCTATACAAGCTAGACAAGAAAAGTAATTTAAAAGCTCCGAACATTGGATGATCTATTAAAAGAAGGTTTTAATGGGTTATAGTTACATCAATATAACACTACTTTTGAGCATGATACAGGACTATGAAGGAGCAAACTGCAGTATCAAAACTGGTCTTTAACTCAACTATTAACATATGCTGTCTTTTATGTCAAAATTTGCTGCTCAAAGTGAATAATAAATTTCTTCTCCACTTACAGAGGTTTTCCACCTCTGCTGTAATAGCAAAAGACCTGACTGTATTTGCTTAAATAAAAATGAAAATTGTGAGACAATCTGGAAATATCAAGCTGTAAAAGAACTTAAACAAGTAGCTCATGGATTCTTTCTCTTTCCTCTCTCCTAGTCAGTAAGCACTATCACAAGTTTTAACACCATCGTAAATAAAACCTTTGCATGTGATTACAAATCCATCACCACTGCTGTAAACTATTTTATTATTTTTTTATTCTTTCAGTAACGGCTAAGACTACTTTCTGCTCTGATTCGGTGGCCATTCCAATTCTAAATTCTATATAATTTGTCTGTTTCTTCTCAATATCCTTTCCTGGAACTGCTGCATGCCTCTCTTACTAAAGGCCAATCCTAGCTGCTTAACCAAGTGCTTACGCTTACCTTACAAACTGGCAAATGCTAACAAACAGAACTGTTGCCTTTAGCAGTCATTTAAAATATGCCTATAATCAAAATAAGGAGAAAAGGGATGTTTAAAACAACGGGGATGGCTATAGTGTAATGTCCAACCAACACTGCTGCTAAGTTGGCCAGTTGTAGATACCTTTTCATTCCCTTCTAGTTACCAAATGAGCAACATGCAGTTCAAACTACTAGTTATTTCGAGAGGTTCACGTTATTTCATACATATTACCTTAGAAAACTTAACCATATTAGCATGTTGTTCAGCCTCTAACTGGGACTTGGTGAACTCTAGCTGCTCCTTCAGTTTATTGATCTCTTCCTGCAATTTGTCTGTCTTTGCACTCTTCTTCTGTTCTGTTCAAAAGAAATAAAGATTTTTTTAAAAAAAAGCTTGTTGTAACTTTTGAAAACATGATAACTTATTGCAAATACTTTTCTAGAGTGTTTCAATAACATCAAGTGTGACTCTCATGCACCATTTCCCCTCCCACATGACTTGCCACAGAAGGTTTTAAATAGGTTGGACTGGACTGCTAACTTTATTCTTAAAGAATGAAAACTAACAGCATTAGTGACTTCTCAAATAGTTTATGAAATATTTAGAAGGAAAAGTATCAGGCAAGCATTGGGCAAAGTATCACCTAATTTTAATACAGATTCGAGAAAGACAGATGAAGGATAAAATGAATCTCAATCATATGGTGCTAGTAACATCTAGTTTAACTTTTTCTAACCATTTTTTGTAGAGAATCTATTTGGAATTCAGCTTCTCATTTATTTGTAGTAAGTTAGACTTTCTGTTTCATGAGGAGTACCACAGCAAAATACACAGTTTAAAGATATGCAAATTTTGCAACCATTTTTAATCTTGAAAAATTTTAACAGCTTACCAAGGATTTACTGGGCTGCTTGTCATTTGGGAATCTGAGTACAAAGCCAAATACTGTTTTGGAATAAGTTAATCCAGTAATTAGTTTAAGTAGTTTTGTTATCTTTTTTTGCACAGGTGCACCAGACCTCAACATATTTACACATTTCTATACTATTATATTAATTTTATTGATAATATTAAAGCACATACCAATTTGAGATTCTTCTGGATGACGCCTCTGCATGTGACTTTGCAAAAATGAATAGTTCATAAAAGCCTTCTCACAAAATTGGCACTAAAAAAAAAGAGGTAACATTTATTACTTTTACTAAGTTTATTGTTAGCAATTTTTGTGTTTCCTAAGCACAGCAGTTAATGTTTTTAACAAGTTATGATATTTTATCCAGACAATGTCATAAATAGGCAAATTTAATAAATTCTGTTTCAAAAGAATGATGACTAGAATCCTTGCAGTGCCAGATTCCCATTAAAATTATTAAAATATTTGTGATATTTAATGCTTGTCTGTCATGGTCACAGACAGGAATCCCATTGCGCTAGTCACTGTACAAGCTTTGAACATAAAAGACTGTGACCTGGCAAGTTCAAATTCAGATATAAAATAGAGACGAGATGCATACAGGCAGATGGAGGAAAATATGCAAAAATTAAGATGCATGTGCCCATTAGTACCATATTCAACAGCCACCTTCTAAAGCATAAAGCTATTTTAATTACTAATCCTATTATTTACTCAGATTTTAAAATTACAACTCCATTTGAGTTCATGATTGCTGTAGTAGTTTAAAACAAAATTTAAATTTGAAGAAAAATTATGTCATAATTAGGAGTTAAAAAGACAGAAAAAATAACATGAATATTTTCCCTCTGTAGAGTAGTATCACCAGACTTTTCCTTCTTCCTCGAACACGTTACTTGGTGATAGCTAAACAAGTCAGAAAGTCTACATTTAATTAGGTTGTTCTGGGGAACAGGAAAATGACTGACCTATAGTAGAACAAACTTAGAGACAGAAAACACCTAATAGGCCACTAGCGAAAGCCACAGGCTGTTTTACTGATGCATCAATATGGATTTTTTTATAAATTACTTCCACTTTTTCTGAAAAAAAAATTGTTAATAAAACTTACTATCTAGAAGCCCTTCCCTAATATCTCATGTCATTTTTTATTTCTTAATGTAATTTCATTACCCCTAGTTAGTATGTTTCTATTCCACTACAAATGCTTCTACCAGGAATATTTACAGATGACCAAGTCAAGCAATGTCTTTAATACTCCTAATCCTCCACTAAATTCTATTAGACTTATGAGGGGACACATAAACTGCAGCAGATATCATGCAAGATGAAATTTCTAATATCTGCTCAGATATCCACTTTTTTCTCTCTTTCCAAATTTTCTCCACCTCCTGTCTTCATTTCTTTTTATTTTTCTGTTAATAAAATGGTTAGAAATTAAAACCACACTACTAAGGCTTTTTGTTTTTAACAGAAAAGAGGTAAAAGTTTCTTTTCACTTTGTACTGTTCTCACAGGTCCAAATTGCCTTTTTCTATTTTATACTGAAAATCTGTATTTAATTTGAAGAACGTCTGTTCCCAGACTGTTCTTGCATCACTGCCTTCCCAGACATCCATAAAGGGAATCGGATTTAAAAAAAAAAAAAAGCTGAATTTGTATGTAATTAAGATTCAAAACCTAACAAGGTGTAACACAAATGAAGGAACTTCCAGGAAGATGCTTCAGTTGCTTTACCAAGTTCCTTTACGGCAAACTTAATTTCAAACAAAAATACTAGAAAAAATGTATGTGTTCCGTATTGCTTCTCCTGCATTTTAATGGTATATACGGTTGCAAAGAAGAAACTGTCATATTTTAAGTGAAATCTGGATCCTATCCCTATACAAAAGGTTTTCAGTTCATCTTGAGAGTACATTCCACTCATTTACAGAATATTAAAAACAGCTAAGTATTGAAGAACCTCAACCTGACTGCGAAGCTCCTGATTTTCTTAAGTCAGGCAGGGCAGCTCACTCCCCACCTCTCAGACTTTTTTTCAGATCAATATGTTAGTAAGACACCACTACTCAGCTGAGTCCGTTCATCTCATCATGATATCAGTGCAAAGATGCTTAAAAACTGATTTAGCAGATTCAAGATCATGTCATTATAATTGAATTCCCAGGTGCCATCTAATATTTAAAATGCCACTACTGATAGCAAGTAGGCTATTAAATATAAATACCTTACAACAAACATCAAAAAATATGAATTATTGAGACAGATTTTGTTGGATAAATGCAAGAAAGTACTAATATAAAACAGAAGCTAAGAAACATAGCACGTAGCAAAGAACCAGAAGGGAAGCTGTAGTGTAACAGATTGCACATGATTTATGGAATGAAATTGGCTGTGAAATAATGCTGTCCATTCATGCACAAACTTTGTGTCAGTTTGACTTGCTGGTAGCAGAAGAAAGCTCTTACTGCAGGAGAGGGGATGAACACTGGGAACATCTAGGTTTTAAATCACATGACATTCTTCTTGCAACTACTTTTCAGTGTTAGATGCAAGATGCACCTATGGGCACATACACGATACTCACAGAGGTACAAGGTACCAAAAAGTGAAAAAATGGTATTTAAAACTAAAAGCTTCATTATTAAGATGAAGGTATAGAGCAAAAGAGTTTTAAGTTTATAATATTTTATGATAGTATTTTATCGTTTGCATTTTCACTGGTGGTGGATTAAAGATAATAAACTTGAACACCAAAACATGGTTATTGCAACTGTCATTAGAAATACAGTGCATATCTACTAAAAAATGCAAATAACTATTTATGAACTTGTTTGCTAAACAGCCAAGACACTAAGGGAACCTGAAATATCCTCTCAGCAGTACCAGCAAAACTCCTATTATCAGGCACTGCAGGTCAGCAGATAACCAAGGCTTAGATAATAATGTAAGATTATTGCTCACTGAACACACTGCTGACCCGTATTTACAAATCCTAGAAAGAGTTTAATTTAACTCTTGCATTCAGATGCAGAATTCTGAACCACTGTAGATTTTTTTAGCAATTATTCAGCATCACTCCCTGAGCTCGCTTACCGAGTGTCTCAGGAATGACCCAAACCAGCCAAACAAAACCATGACTTTCAGCTTGCAGACACAAAGACACAAGGCTGACCTGAAGTACTGTGTCAAGACTGTGTGCAGTCCACACTTTGCAGATTTCAGGCATTTGAAGCTAATAAATATCTAAATCAAACTATTGTGTCCAGATCAAATCAAAACAAAAGCAAGAAACACCCCTAACCAGAGAACCATGGCATGAGATGTCCAGACACCGGCGCACTTAGCCTCTCAGGCAAGGTGTATGAGGACAGACCAGTGGGGGCACGATGGATGAGTTCACTCTCTGCTGCTCATCACTGCACACCCAAGCCACTCCAAAGTCATGCACAGAAGCAGAAACTTGGTGTCTGGGAAAAATGCAGTATGAAAGCCAATCCTAGCACAGGCACTTAGGCAGGTCACTGCTCGTCACCAGTCCTGCTCTACCTGCTGCATATGTTTTCCAGCCATGCAGTAGACAAGTGAGGAAAGATAGCAACAGAAAGCACCGACGCGTTTATCTCAGGTTGGGCATGTGCAGGCACATATGGGGCGTGTTAGACACACCAAAAGTGAATTTGCAGAGGAGTGGTTAGCAAAAAGAGGATCCATAAAACCAGATATAGCATTCTGAGAAAAATGTGAGGTAGCATCCAAAAGCCTGTGAAACACAGAGGTGACACAAGACACGCACAGGTGATGCAGCCCCTTTTTGGGATGTCTCCCATCCCTGCAGCACAAGGACACAACCATGAACCAAAAAGAGGGGCCATGATGAGCCATGATGAGCAGACCATCATCCCCAGCGGACACAGAGCTGGTAAGGCCACAGCATGCGTGTGACCTCTGTTCTCACCTGGTGGTAGCTGGCCCGAGCCTCCAGCATCATCTGCTGGGTGCTGATCATCTTCTTCCTCCGCCGGCACTCCTCCTTGAGGGCCTTGATCTCCTGCGAGCCGCGGGCCAGCTCCTGGCGCAGCTGGTCACGCTGCGCGTGCGCTGCCTGCAGGGCCTCCTCGAGGCTGCTGAGCTGGGCGCTGAGGTACTCCTGCGAGTGCAGCAGGTACTCGGTGCACAGCTGGGCCAGGCGCAGCAGCTTGAGCAGCAGCGGGTCGGCCGGGCCCTGGCAGTGCGGGCAGCGCTCCCGCTCAGCGCTGCAGAACGTCACGTGGCCCAGGTGCTCCTGCAGCGTGGCCACATCGCCCTCGCGGCACACGCGGCCCACGTCCACGGCGCTCAGGCGGCGCCACTCGGGGCTCTCGTGGCGCGCACGGAACTGGAAGGCGGGGAAGGGCGCCGGAGCCGCTCCTGTCACCGCCGTTGCTGCCGCCGCCGCCGGGTAGTAGGCGCGCTCCGGCTCCGTCCCAGCCATCCCTGCGGGAAGAACACTGCAGGCACTGCTGGCACCCATGAGGAACCCTCTCCCCTACCCTTGCTGTGCTTGTCCTCGTCTCCCCCAGCCCTTGGCGCGGTGCTGGGGGGCTCTGCATGTCCTCCTGGATGCGCCTCGCTCCCAGCCCATGCCTGTGGCCAGGCACGGGCCCATGCGCCTCCTAACGACCCCAGCTCTCCCCTTGGAACGGCCCTGCGCTCGGGACCACGCTCTGCTCACACCAACACACATGGATGCGGTCCCAGCACTCGTCTGCCCGTCCACCGCCTGTAAGCACACAGTCCTGTCTCACCACGTCTGCCCGTCCTCTCTGCCTCACCTCCAGCATCCCCATGCACCTCACCCCCAAAGCACCTCACAGCCTGTGTGTGTGTATACACCAGTGTCACCACCCCATCCTCAACCAATTGCCTTCACAGGCGCCCAATGTTCACTGCCTGTCTCCCTACCTCACCACAATTTCCAGGTGTTACCATTACCTTGTTCTTCCTTGGTGACTTTAAAGTTTGTCCTCAGAAACAAATATCCTTCCCCCCCACCATGCTACATTATCCTATTCCATCACTCACCCTTAACACTCTTCTCCACAACCTTCTTTTTCTACTACTCCTTCTTAACATTTCAGACCCCTGAGCTGTCTCTGCCATATCACTCATGTTCCACGTTTACATCTCCACCTTTCGCACCTTCCCTGCATGCTTAGTTTCTCATCCCTCCAGTCATTCCAATTTATACTCTTCTTGAGCATCCACACAGCACATACTTCATAACCTGTCAAGTGGTGGGCAACCTGTTGGATGGGGGCACAATTCTCCTCATGAAACCATTCTTCCTAATATCCTACCTGGTAGCAAGTTGTGGCCACTGCCTCATGCTGTATCTGCTACTACCAAGAAGGATTTGGCTCTGACATTCAGGTAGCTGTAAGCCCTTCCTAGTGAGTGCCCCCTTCCTCCTCCTCACCAAACTGAAGAGCAGGCAACCTCTCTTTGAAGGTCATTCGCCATCTGGTTGGCCCTCGTTCTGCTCCCTCTGGTTTCCCCACATGCCTCATGCCCCCCCACAATGTGAGATTCCTCCCTTTAGCCATCTCTTAGAAACACTCCAGATGCAACTCCCAAATTAGCTCCACCTCACAGCTGTGTATTTTGCATTCTCCCTCCACTACGAGCCGTATCATGACCACAGTAAGTGCATGACACCTATCCACGTAAGCAACAGAAGTGCTGCTGCAAGCACTAGTGTAAGGAGAGCTTCCCCCAAACCCCAAAACCCCGGCACGTGGCAGCGTTACCACACACACTGCCGTGAGACCCAGGCACTGCCTCTGACCCTCGGGCATCTATCAAAACCCTTAGCACATGCCACATGAGAAGGACCCAAATCCATCTCAGGAATAGTTAAGCACTCACTTCAGCAACGAAGAGTCCCAAATGCTAACACGCTCCCTCATTCTTCAGACTCACTTCTACCCATGCATATGGAGAAACCTGAAGGAAAAGCCGCTCTTTCCATAGCCAGGGAAAACCAGGGGAACATCTCTCTTGCTTCATCAAAAGTTACATCCTTCCTTCCAGTTCCCCCACTTTCGTGCAAAAGTTTAGGATTGGTCCACACCAGGGACTTCATCAATTGACCAAATAGACTTCAGGACCCTTCAAGTTTGAACAGTTAGACTGGTAACATTGGCAGAGGATACTGAGTCCTGCTGTCTGTTTACTTGAGCTGCCCTAGAAGGCAATACTCCAAAATAACTGGCCCTATAGCTCATTTTTTGAACCTTTAGTCTTGAGTCTACTAGCCACTCTTTATTGCGATATCTAAAGTTCAGGCAACAGCCCCGGAAAATACCCCAGTATCTTCCATCACTTACCATGACTTTTTTTAATTCACAAAAAATATCTGCAGACAGGCTATAAAATCAGAATTTTAACAAAATGAAATATCAATCTTAGGAAAGTGGCAAACCAGCTAGAAGTGAGGAAATTCTGTGATCTGATTCCCAGCTCACCACTACCCAGCACAGGCAGAATTCACATGCACAGCCACGGTGTGCATATGCAAATACACCAAGCATCACTTTTCACCTTTCATCCGAGATGTGTGGCGTTTGAAACACTGCAGTGTAACACTGCAGTCTTCTCCTGCAACAAAGCATTTTTGCCACCTCATTTTTCCCCCATGAACAGGGCCTCTGGCAATTGCTACATTTGAAGACATTTTTTAGTATTCTTGCTATATATCAAATACAGCTCTCTCTGGGTTATCAGTGAACTCTGCACTGCTCTGACACCTGAAACAGTTAGAAAATATTCTGCTAATTTCCTTTACAGCTATTTGTATTATACTGCAGACCCTAGTCCATTTACAGAGCATAAATACACTCATATTTGTAAACAGCTAACCTAAAAAATAATGCTCAAATTCTTAATAAAAATAGCATCTGTCCAAAGTGTCTTTAATGTTCCTTCCAACATCTTGGAAAATGTAAATTAGGTTGTTTTTCCTCAACAAGGAGCGCTTAAGTAGTAAACTATTAAGTAGTAAAGTGAAATCTTTCTCCCAAAAACTACTGAGGCTTACACGTGCTTTTTAACATATCTAGCAGAAATTTCTGTTCACAGAAAATTTGGCACATTTTGTCTTTTTCTTCACTGTGCATGCAGAAGGACCCTGAAAAAGAATGCATGAAATACTTTAATTCACAGATGCACAAGGGTTTTTTTGTTTGCTTGTTTTCAAATGTTCCACCAGCAACCAGCAAAGTAAAACAGATTTATGGACACACTTCATTTCCTAGACTGACATATTTAGGCGGGAATATCCTTGCCGAGTTTCCTACCACTTTAATTCCATCAGTTTTCACTGAACGCAATGTTGACGTGGCACACCATAAAACAGAAAAAGAGACCAAAAAAAAAACCCAAAAAACACGCTGTTAGGGCATCTGTCCACGGTGCTCCCTTATGCCACTCGGGTGAGGAGGCGAGGGAGCGGTGGAAGGACGCCGGGAAGGATAGAAGGATAGGAGAAGATAGGAGAAAAATGTCTTTTTTTTTTTTTCCTTTCGTTCCTTCTCCCAGCAGAGTTCACTGAGAACAAAGTAACCTAAAAATCCCGGCCTCATTTTTTTTGGGGGGGGGGCTGGGGGGAGGGGTGAGGTAAAAGATGTAATGCCTGCCGG